TAGCCAGAGGTTCCCCCAAGCTCCCACAACCAGGACTTAAGATACCTAATGTATAAATGACCCTTATGTAGTCTATGTAGCCGGAGGTTCCCCCAAGCTCCCACAACCAGGACTGGAGACGGTTAATACCCGAAATGGCCACTCTTCTATCTGATGGAGACCAGGCCAGAACCTTCCTTAGGCCCTTAAGCTAGTACAGGTAGCCTATCTCTAGAAACCATTTTCTTGGAAGAAACGACATGTAAGGTGAGCTACATTTTGATGTAATGACTCCCTCCTTTTGCAGTTGTACACTGGGGATTGTATTACACCAGGAAACTTTCTCCCCTCCCCCAAGTTATATTGTACTTATTAAACATGCTGGCAGTAAACTGTCTGGCATCAGGCTTTCTAGGAGTTTGATCCAGGCTGGCAGACTAAAACTGAACCTAGTTTTTATTCTCACCTCTTTTAGAATCATTTGCCTGCCTGCGTGACACCTGCAGGAACTCTCTCAGAAGGATGCCTAGGGAGCCTAACTCCCTTTCTTCTGAGTACTGGGCTGGATTCGTTGGTTTACATGCAATAAATAAGTATGAAGCCGACTGGCAGAAACAGAACCAGCCTCAAACTATTACAGCCTAGGACAGTAGCTCTCGACCTTCCCAATGCTGCAGTCCTTTAATACAGTTCCTTGTGTTGTGGAGACCCCAACCATTAAATTATTTTTGTTTGTTGTTACTTCATAACCGTAATTTTGCTACTGTAGAGATCCAATTTGCCACCTCTGTGAAAGGGTCATCTGACCTCTGAAGGGATCATGACCCACAGGTTGAGAACTGCCTCCCTAGGATGTAAAATATCTCTTTCTCCCCCTCTGTCTTCCAACCTCACATCTACCGCTCTCCCTTTATGTTTTTTTCTTTCTTTGTTTGATTAGGAGGAACAGAGTGGCTAGGCTGCCAACTTATAAACTCACGTCCTATTCAGTCTTCCCCTGATTTATCTTCACATCATCTCTCCTTTGTGTCCCGTTCAGCTGCTCAAACAATCACATCAGGGTGTTGAGACAGCTCAGTGGGTAAAGGTGCTTCATGGAGCCTGGTGACCTGAGCCTCAGGCCTGGGAACCTGAACACTGGAAGGAGAGCCTGACTCCTCCTACACGGTGTCCACTGATCTCTACACCCACACATGCACTGAAATAAATAAGGGAAACAAAAATGTATATTTATTAACTCTTACGTGTTTTCTGTATAAAGGATTATCCATTTGTTTATTTATTTTAGCATGAGTATTAAAAACCCAGAGACAGATATTGGGGTTCAACCTGAAGGTCAGAAAAGCAAAACGCCAGTTACTGACTCTTTTTTTTTTTTCTTTCCAAGATGGGGTTTCTCTGTGACTTTGGAGCCCGTCCGGGAAACAGACTGGCCTTGAACTCACAGAGATCTGCCTGCCTCTGCCTCCCAAGTGCTGGGAATAAAGGCGTGTGCCACCACCACTTGGCTCCAGCCACTGGCTCTTACCACTACCCAGTCTGAAATGGCAGGCCAGTCTCTAAGGATCTTCAGAATGAGACTGCCTAAGATTTGTCTCCTCCCATCTTTTATTCCTCTCTAGTGCTGGGATTAAAGGCTTGCACCACTACTGCCTGGCTTCTAGTGTGGCTAGAACTAGTGTGGCTACTGGGAATAAAGGTGTGCATCACCTTTGCCTGGTCTGTAAGGCTGACCATTGTGGCCGTTTTACTCTCTGATCTTCAGACAAGCTTTATTTATTAAAATACAAATGAAGTATCACTACAATTTATTTGTTTTCCTATTTATTTATTTAGCTTTTTCAAGACAGAGTTTCTCCGTGTATCTCTGGCTCTTCTGGAACTCATTCTGTAGACCAGACTGACCTCAAACTCACAGAGATCTGCCTGCCTCTGCTTCCCAAATACTGGGATTAAACGCATGTAAAACCACCGCCTGGCTCTTTTTCTTTGTTTCTCTTTCAGGGAATATGTTCCCTAACATTTTTATCAGTGGAAGAAAGTCTCCGTTGCTTCAGTGAAGCCTACAGGAAGATGAAGAAAGAAGTGGGCGGGTTCGGTGTTGAACACTGTGTGAAAGCCAGGGCCTAACTATGTGCACCTTCTCGGCTCCCATTCATTACTGAAGATTCATGGCCTATTAAACCAGCTTGTCATTGGGCTTCCCTGCAAATTGTTTTCTAACTGTAATAAATTTACAAGTGAATTGTAAAAAGAGTTGAGGTATATTTAATTCAAATGTCAAATGTGAGACTCGAAAATGGATACAGCAAAAGATATTCCTCAATAACCGCTTATCTTTCCCCACTCCGAGGGAAAGGTAGCACGCACAGATATGAAAACACTTCATGGCAAAGAAGATAAATGCAAAACGCATTTTACAGCATCAATCAAGTTATTTCCTATAGAGATGAAACAGAGCCTTCAAACTCAGTAAAGCAAGGAAAGTTTCCATAATATTTTTTGTGAAAATATAATGTTTAATTCACATATTGGTGTCATGTGTCAAGGCTGAAAACCTGCACACACTTTTGACAGTTACATAGAA